CATCCCACTGGGGTCCATGGATTTATGTGCACCAAATTTACCTAGGTGATCTCTAAACAGATCCTCCTCAAACTAGGGGAAGTCTTCCTTTCCCCAAACTCTCTTTCTTATCTTCAGGATCTGAGATTCCGGAGGAGCAGTCTTAACAGCAAAGGCTGAAGCACAGAAGGCATTCAGTAATTCAGTGCCTTCTCTGTGCGCTCTGTTACCAGAGCACACAACTTATTCAGCAGTGGGCCCATATTTTCCCTAGTCTTCATTTTGCTATTGACATACTTAAAGAAATCTTGTTATCATTGACCTCCCTCACCAGAGGGCCTTAACCTTCCTTGTTGCATTTCTGCATGCCCTGACAGTGTTTCTATATTCTTCCCAAGTGGACAGACCTCTTTTCCATGTTCTTTAGTCTTTCTTCTTCCATTTGAGTTTTTCCAAGAGCTCCTTGCTCATCCATGTGGGTCTCCTTCCTAATTTGTCGGATTTCTTACTCGTAGGGATATACCGATCTTAAGCTTGGAAGTAGTGATCAACAAACTCTTTTAGGCCTCTTTACTTTCCAATGCTCTAACCCATGGAATGCCTTTAAGTAAGCCCTTGAATAAGTCACTGTTCGCTTTCCTGAAGTGGAGGGTTGCAATTGTACTTATTGACTTGTTTCTTCCATGTATGATCCTGAATTCCACTATCTCATGTTTGCTGTACCTGAGGCTGCTCTTGACCTCATTCCCAACATGTCCTTCCTTGACTGTAACAACAAGGTCCATCAGCACACATCTCCCCATTGGCTCCTCCACCACCTGCATCAGAAAATCATCTTCCATGCACTGAAGAAATCTTCTGGACAGTGTGTGCGTGGCAGTTATGCTTTTCCAGCAAATACTGGAGTTGTTGAAGTCCCCCATGAGAACCAGTGACTGTGAGCGTGAAGCTACATTCAGCTATCAGCTACAGCAACTGTAGAAGGCTTCATCAGATTCCTCCTGTTAAGGCAGTCTGCAGTAAGCACCCTCAACTGTATCACTCAGATTAGCCTACCTCTTGCTTCGCACCCATAAGTTCTCCACTAATTTATCAGTGATCCCTAGGCAGAGCTCAATACTTTCCAGTTCTCTCACATAAAGATCGTTTCCACCACCTCACCTTGCTGGTTCACCTTTTCTAAAGATTACGTAGCCATCCACAAAAGCATTTTAGGTATGAAAACTGTCCCAGAGTGAGATCATGGCCCTGTGACCACACATAGATCCCCAGTTCTTCTTGTTTATTCTGTATGCTGCATGCACTGGTAAACAGGAACTTCAAAGAAGAAAAGGGAGCAAAGGATGCAATCCCTGTTTTAATCTACATTCTCATAACACATTGTGTTCATAGCAGTTTGTAATATTCCTATAGACTACCAGGTTACAGCATGAGAGTCAAAGAATGCATGAGAATGCTGTGATTTAATCACAGTAACATGTACTCCAACTAAACACCATGGAGCAGTATTGTCTAGGCCAACATACACCAAAACACCACAAAATTTCCCTTCCCTTCTGCTCTCCTATAGGTGGAGTTATAATATTTCTTGGTTCATCATAAATAAGTACAGTGAATTTCAGCATTTTCTGGCATTATATTTTTTCACAAGGGAAATTTTAAAAGACAAGATTTTTTTTAAAGTGTGAACATACTAGTTTGTTTACTATCCGTTCAAACCTGGGGAAAAAGGGATAAAGGGATAATATGTTATGAGTCATTTCATGAGCAAAGAAGAAAGTGAATTTTCTGTTCTGTGCTGAAGTATTTTGATAGGAATGACAAGTTAAAGTCTTTCAAGTTTTCATCACTGTATAGGAGTTTGATCTGAGACAAATGCAATGTAAATCCTCCTGTTTCCGGTATCCTAGATTTCTTGTCAAACATGGAAGGTGATAAATAAGTTCTAATGTTGATCCACCAAAGGCAATTTAAATATATTTCTCCTTGCCCAATTGTATGATCCATGTATCTTTGCAATGATTTTTTTCACTAAAATAACCACATTTGTAAACACTTTATATTATTTTAAAAAGAAAAAAAGAAGGAACAAAGCCACTATCCTAATTTTGTAAAAATCAATACCTTAACTTTCTTTAATCCTAAAAATATACCTTTAGAGCTATTAGAGCTTTATAATGTCTAGAATTGGTGACTTGTAGTAAGGCAAGATTTGCCTAGTCTAGCACTCCATTAAGGCATTGTTTATGTACAAGACCCAAATATCTATATGTACATTGTTTAACTGAATTAGAAATACTCATGCTCACTGAATTCCTTTTTCACTTGTCAGAGACAAAAGCATTTTTTTTTAAAGTTAAAAAAACACAAAATATTTCCCAGAGAAACTGAATGAACTGCAGTGTAGTACTTGCATATAAGTAACACATTATATGCTTTGATTTTAGATCCCTGTTTCACAACCAGATCATCAAAACAACTCTTCCAAGTTCAATCTCAAGAGAGCTTATCAGGAGTAGCAAGTTCTTTTAAGGCTTAATACTAAAAACATTGTGAATGGCTGTGAGAGAGGCAGATAAATTACCAACTACCACAATTAGAAGAATCAAATCTATTGCTTGAAAAATAACTCTTTTGCATCTTGGTGTTACTTGAAATCTATCTATCTATCTATATATATCTATGCAGTATATATATATGTATATAATTTATACACTTCATAGAATGCAAATACTTCTTATATTCATGAACGGGAAAAAAAACAAAAAATAACAAAATTGTACCAGTAGTAGTCATTCACATTCACTCTTCAGAAATATAAACAAGAAACCACACATGTAATGTTCAATCATAATAGAGGATGCTAATCATATTTAAAACTGGAATCTATATACTATTAAGTGTAAATTAGTACCCTACCTAACTAGATACAAAATTTGCATTGACTTCAATGGAGCCAAGATTTTACTCCTGGTCATATCATGTATTACACTGTGGAATATATTCACAGCAGTTACTTTTCATACAGCACAAATGAGGAAACACTACTAGTACAATCACAGTTCCTGTCAAAGAAAAAACAAATGAACTGTAGGCCAACATACTCCTGAATGTAATCAGAATCTGGACTGTATGGCTTGGACATTTTCTTTCTCTAAATCTACACATGGTCCAGGACCACAAGGTTGTCTTTGGAAAGTCACATATAATGAAGAAATAATTCCCACAGGCATATACGTTTGAAGGAACCAAAGCATTAATAATATGCAAGTCTCCTCTCCTACTTGTACATTATTAGGAAAATGTTTACTTGTCAAACATATTATTTATTCACTTTGTTTCATTCTTGTTTATGTTTCAGCAAGAGATGTCCACAACTGGATATTGTTTCAAACTTCTCACTTCTTGAAACATTAGTAGATTGTTTACTGGGACTTTGTAGAAGCCGCTCATGATGTCGTGCACATTTGGAAGCTGACCCATCTCTGTATTCACAGCTTTGACAGAAGAGCACAGAACCTGGGGTAAGAGTGAGAGGGGGAAGGAAGCGCTGCTAGGAAGGATAATTCTGAAAGATAAGAGAAGAAATACTGAGTTCTTTTAAGCATGGTCTTGCTATAGTCGCTTGTTAACCTGCTAGTGGGGGTAAAGTGTGCCAGTATATGCACAAAAATATGTAAAAGCTAGGAGTTTTTCATTCATATGAAAATATGAAGAATTTTCATATTAAGAAAATTCCCTCAATCCATACACAGGGATCTCTTCATTCCATAAAGAGAAATCAGTGCCTCTGAGGAGGCTAGAATTAAGGCAATGAGAGGCCTGAAAACAGTGTGGCATCATGTTTCCCCATTTCTAAACACTGAATCATTTCAAACAAATCCTAAATTTGGTAATTCATCTGAACGGGGTCTTTCACTGAAGTTATCAACACCCTTCATAGTAATGATATTTTCTTGCTAAGAATCGGGCCTGAGAAGTTTTTATATATTCTCCATAGAGTATTTACACATACTCTTATGCACACGTATATATACACACACAAACATGCCCACTCGCAAATTTATAAATATAAGTACATACGCAAAGAGGCAAGATTGAAAACCATGTCAGATTTGGAACGTTACCCACTTATCCAAACCATTTAAACTACCATCTACACAGTACATATTGAAACTCAACTTTAAGATTTCTTTTATTTTTATGTACAGCTCATTTTTTTGTTTGGAAATAAAATATCTAAGTACAGACAGACTGTAATGTTTATATGTATAGCTTTCAACAATACTTTAGCTGAATAAATGCTTTGTACATAGTTCTGTCTTTTAATGAGTTTACAGCTACATTGATAAAATGGATTCCTCACTTCCTTGATTGTTTTTAACCAATAACAAGCAAAGAGACAATTACAAGTTAATATTAATAAGCAGCTCAAATAACACTGGTTAAATTATGTACAATACAAACCATTCATACAAATCAAGACTAGGATATTGAATTTGTTACAATATTTTGTAATAAAGATAAGACAGCCACTTATAACTTACATGTCCTCCATGAGGCATTTTCCTTCCTAAAGATCATCTGGAGGGTTTTAAAATAGCTTTGCTTGACTAAACTCAACCAGGTTTAAAGGATCAGAGCTTAAAGAGTCAGAGAAACATAAAACCAGAATGTCTGCCCACATGTAAATTCCAAATGTTTGCCCATCTTTACTGGTAACAGGCTCACTCCATGGAAAAAGAGCCACCTAACACCACCTTGAATGTGCCTACTGTATGCTGGAAAAAAGTCACTATGCTTTGCTGTGTTCATATAGCAAGGAATACTGAACTCTAGACACACATTTTTTTCCCATTTTAACAAGTATTTAGTCCTACAGTATTATTTACTGGTACAGCTACTCCAAGCAGTAGAATGCATGAGTGGGGATTATTGGTATATACTCAAAGGACTTTCAAAGAGATTTCCACCACAGTCTGTGTAAGAAACTGTTCTCTGTCTAGTTAATCCATTTTGCTTGATGCTAGTTTATCCCCAAACTTTAGTTATCAGACAATGAAAATCTCTCTTAACAGGAATCTCAATAGATATGAGCTGAAGAGTGTGTGTCTCTGTGTTTATGGTTTTATTTCAAATCCATAGTGATTTACAACTAGATTGATACATGGTGCTGACTGGGCAAAAATTACATTAGATTGTTTTCCACTAACATATTTGCAGCCATATGACATCATCAGCAGTTTGTAGACACATTCCAGGCAATAGATGTGGCTTTCCTCCTTGAGGTTACAGCCCTGTCATACGAACTCTTTTATTCCCCAGGCTTCAGTCTCAGACATATGTTTATCCTCACCCTGAGGGGAAGTAGGGTGTGTCACTGTGGTAGTTGTAATCAGGACACACCTTCTGTACTAGTTTATAATCTGTACTATAAAAGGAAATGTAAATACAGATTACTTTAAAGGGCTTGGAGCAGAGCCATGACACGTGGCTCTGGGTCTGCTCCTGATAACAGGTTTTTGAAGGGTCATAGTTGCAGAGTGTGTTCTTGGTAGCCTTGTCAACCTTTTCATACTCAATTCGACAGTTAAAGGACTTGGAATCTTTGGCATCAATCACTGTCTGTTGTGCCAAGTCAAATTCCACTATTTTTGTAGGGGGCACTAGGCTCACAGATACATTCCCTTGACCAGTGGAGTTATGCCTGAAGTAAACGCTAAACGTCCCATTGCCATGGTCAACGATTTTCCCTGTTATTAACAGATTTAGCTTCACAGTCTTGATGTTGGAATGAAAATCGCCCCAGCCAAACATTTTCTTAAATTTCCCAGTCTTGACAATAGGTCGTCTCTTTGCCCTGGGCCGTGGCTCTTGTAGGTCCGTGGAGTTCCTCAGCCAGTCCCAGAGATCTTGCTCAGTATAAGTTTCTGGGGCATCATATCGCAGGTCCAAATCTGTATCGTTCTCCTTTCCACGAAAAGTCTGTGACAGCAGTCGGCTGATGGACAAGTCTTTGCTACTTTCTGTCCATATGTGCTTTAGTGTGGATTTGGAGCTTCCTGATTTAAGAAGTTCTGATTTACCTCCATTTGTTAAATTTGCACAGGTAACCTGAAAAAGAATGAAGAAAAAAAAAAGAAAGGAGACATTAAGATATATAATACAAAACCCACCGTTTCCACCTGAGAAAATGAGCAGATTTCAAAATCATAAAGAACTATTTTTGGGGAGAAAAAACTACAGTCTCTGTACACAAGTCGAACAAAACAAAACTGTCTATTTTCCTCTTCGTTCCAAGTAGTTGTTATTTAATTCTCTTTTGTCAATTTTTTTGCCTTCAGAATTAGTTCTGACCATTCATTTAATTCTTCAGCATACTAGCTACCTCTTCATGATGCCTGTAATTGATGAGTAAGGAATGAAGTGTGCAAAAACTAAGTACACAGCTGTGCCATCCTGCTTTCAGTGACCATTTCTCATCTCAGAGTGAAGTACTTTTGTTTTAATGTTTTCTCCTCACAGTAGCTGTGTTTTCCCCTATCTGAGGCAGACTTGTTTATTTTTACTGCCCCTTGAGTTCACTGTTAGGGTGTTGTCTTGATGATGCCAATCTGACCATGCTCAAAGTCCATGTCACTGTAAATCCAACAATCGCAACCTAATTTCCTTGCTTCTTTTGTAAAAAAGACATTAGTCTGCAGTCTTGACTAAGACCTTCAGTAACAACTACAGTATAAATAACAGAATAATGTAAGTTTTAATGAGTTTCTTCAACAGCAATAAACCTACTGTGAATTATACCCCAATTAATGCAAGAGGAGTCATGCTCTTTTGCTCCCTTTCTAGATCAGCTACTGATTTGATGTGTCTGTATGAAGTTTGATATGTATTTCTCCCTTCCTCACTCCTGTTTCTTCACACCTTTCTCCATGAACCAAAGTGGTCTGTGCAAGACAGAGTCATTTGTGCAATTTCAAGAAAAAATGTGGCCACTTATCTGAAAGTAATAATTTTTAAAAATAGTACAAAGTGCATTTAAATTCAAAAAAAGAAAAAAAAGAGATACGGAGAAAGAAAACTGTGGATCGTGTTCCTAAAAATCATAAATTTCAGAGAGAGATTTTCACAGAATTCAGTGTCAAAGCAATTTTTTCTTATTTCTTTATTTTCTCTTTGCTTCAATTACGTGGAAAACCAAGAACATATGCAGCCTCACAGCTGTCTAACTCACAGCAGTGATGGAGAGCAGGTAGGGCTGGAATTAGCAGGGGACAGCAAAAAGACAGGAGGCATCTACAACATCCTTAGACTCATTTCTTTAAAACCTTAGACCAGGCGCACTACCACATTTTTTTAGTATTTGAACTAACATGAAGAAGCCGTTGAGTTTCTTATTTCCCTTTTCACGACTACATAACTCATTCTGAAAATGCCTGGTTTATAACCCTGTGTTCTGGCATGGAGTTACATTGTGCTTTCATATTTTCAGTTACATCTTTCTTTTCACTTAAAATAGAATTGAGTATATTCTCAACTAAGGAAATATATTGAAAATTGGCTCTATACTGGTATAACTGGAGGTATATGACATGGACAATATCTATCACAGCTTGACCTTTTCATTTCCTAACAATCATGGAATCAAAAATGCTTTATTAGCTTAAATACAATTTCAAGGTCAGTTGAAGACATATACATAAAAGCAGACTAAGTAGTCTTAGTATCCTCATATAGGAGGTATGTCCACAGCCTTTACAGTAAACAAATAGGTAAACTGTTCTGTCACATCCCACACAACAGCTTCCCAGTGCAATTCCAGTGAGAGGAGTCAGTAGAAGTAATAACTAAAGTATGGGTTTTATTTAAGACCTTGCCAAAGGGATGACTTTTTCCTCTTTTGAAATGAAAGAAGGATAAACACAGCCTAGCATTTTGATAGCCACTTTCTAGCTGCATCTTCGAATCAACATAGCGAGCCAAGCGAGAAGCTGTAAGAAAATGCACTGATGGTGTACTGGTTAATGAAGCAGCAATGAACATGTCACAGGGAGAGCGAACAAGACTCGGAATATAATTTTGCTGTGGCATATGGGGAAGGCGTGCAAAATAAGGGGAGATATGTGGCTAAAAGGAAAAATGTCCAGCATGAATCTGTCAACCTGTTATGAATCTAAGCAGTTAGTTAGGAGAGCTAGTCTACCTACAATATGTAGGTAGGACACAGATTATCACCACTATATTTTTCTTTCCTCGGAGCTTGCTTTTCGTTTGTTTTCCTTTCGGTCTCCAATAATTTACATTTCATAGGATTATGCAGCAAGTTTCATGTAACAAGCCGTAACGGAATAAAAACCATTTAAAAATAAGGTCTTTTTCTTTCAGCTAAAACTGAACAACAAAAAAGGGAAGCAAGTATTTTTTTATATAATTGCTGATTGATCCAATACAAGTACATTTTTGAAAGCCAGTATATTTCATGGAAATGAATGATTCAGATCCCATGTATGTTCAACAGCTTCATACTTGACCTAATAAATACAACTGATTGTTACTGTCATTGATTTAGTAACATCTGAAAGGCTTCTGGTCACGCAGTTAGCCCTGAGACCTCTGCAATTTTCATTGTGGGTAACTGACTACATTCATGTCTAAAGGCCTGAACCTGCCCTCCCTAGTCAAGTGTTTGTGTGAGTACTCAAGAAACAGCCCGCAATTGTTAATAAAAAAGCTCTAGAATTCATAGCTCTTCACTAACATTTTCCAGTCAAGTGCTTTTTCATGTACTGTTAGTGCACTATGTGCTATGGAAAGCAGCTAAATGTATCCTCAGAGACTTGCACACCCAATAATACAGAGCACTGCTGTGTAATAGAATTTCTGCAAGTGCAGCAGTTATTTTCACATGAACTAATTCACAATTTTCTTCTGTCTCTCTTCTTTCCAACCGTAAGTCTGAAATAATACAGGAAAGATCATAAAATCTATGTGATTTTGCACTTAGCATTGTGAAAACTAGCTTACTGAAACACAGACTCATTTTAGCAAAACCTGAAAAAAAAGATCCAATTTAAAATGACTAATTGAAGGTTAAACCCTAGAGTAGCCAAAGTTCCATCCTGGCTTTTTTCCTTCTTCTTTGACTATATGTGCATGTAATCCAGAAACATACATACTTGTCTCTTAACAAGTAATTCAACATAAAAACAAGTCGCTTTCTCTTCCAAAACCACAGCCACTACAGACTGCAATGCATTCCCCTTCATTATTTATCTTTTTTTCAGTAACAAATTTCAATAAGATTTCACCAGGACTGTTGAAGTCTATACAGTAAGGGAGAGAATGAGCATTTTTCTCTATATTTACATTATAAAAAATTACAGAGATGACAGGAACAGATTTATGTCTACTTCACCCTACAAAAATAAGATCTATTTCAGCTTCTGTTGGCTGAAGTGACCAGGGTCCAGGCTTGTTTTTTATTGCATGTATATACAGAGCTTTCTATGGTAGCCAGCCTTCACTGGTAGCTTTAAGCTTTATTCTAATGGAGGAACAACAGTAAAGTATACAATAAACAATGAAAAGTTTTGTCAAGTACAGTGCAATACATCAATGTTGCAAAAGGGCTGAGGAGATGAATTTCCTGTGACTGTATAGCTAGAAGTGAATAATTATGATGTCAGTAGTGTCTGTATAGAACAATATTAAGGAGAAAAAAGATTTAGGAAAGCTTAGCCATTACGACAAATGTTACTGGAAAAGCAGCTCGGTAAGTATAACAAATTGACCTTTGCTTCCAGTCTTGTATCTTTAATGGAAAATACGACTTTCCACTACCTAGTAAAGCTTACTGATATCAAAAAGGTACAGGGAGCAGACTGCCTGGAACCTTTTTCAATGAATAATGACAAACAGCTATTCCATTTCTTCCTATGTTTTTAGGCAGAAATATAGACAGTGGTTTCCCTGGACACAATACATCAAAGCACAATTAATAAAAGACATAGGAATGATCTGTAATGCAGTTTTTGCTCCATTAAAACAGAATTTTCTATTCATTCTATATCCTTCGTTCTGAGGATGAAGAAATTTTCATGACGTTTAGCTTCATTAGATGTGTTTTAGTGAATATCTGTAGTTCATTTAGGACTTCCTAAGAGATAGGTAGGATTTGTCTCAAAAACCTTGGAGTCCTCTTTAAGACACTGAACTCTGAATGCTTAGTCAGATCAAATTTGAACATTTAAAACAAAGAAAACAAAGTTGGAAAGGTACGTCAGGAAGTCATCAGGGTCTCAAGCAGTGATTTAGGCTCTATTCTCATCTCAGGGCAAAATCAACAATAGTAATATTAATATTAAGATAGAGAAATTTGAGATTTAAAGAGTCATTCAAAGAGATACACAGTGTGTCTTGATTTCTCACTTTTCTCTAATACTGTTCATTACCTATAATTACAGTATTGGCTTAGAAATTACGTATTTGTTTATCTGAATATATGACTACTTGAGGGCAAATGAAAATGTAAACAACAATCTAATACTCAAGATAGAAAATCTCTCTCTTCAGGTAAACAACTAATCAAAACTGAAATCATTTTTGTTGGCATAACTCTGTAACAATTTGGCAGCACTGTTTGTGTATTCTCTGTACAGAAGAACTTAGAATTTTCTTTCCTCTGTCAAATATCCCAGCTGATAGAACAGTACTGTGACATAACTGTAAGGTAGACTCAGTGAAGGAATTGTAGCTGCTGCAAATTGATATGTGAAAAGAGGGCAAATGCAGAAAATCTCCCAAGTTTCTACCTCACATAGACAGAAATCTGTGTTTCAAACTTAGGAAACATTTTTCTGTTTGACCAGCAAAGAAAAAGTATTTCGATTTTTTTTTTTTTTAATCAAAGCATGCAAACTCAGATGAATTTGAAAAATGAGAAAGAAAATCCTAATTTACTCAAATGAGAACACAAAAATGGTTATGTGGGATCAAGCCAAAAACTCAGAAAAGTGTCTGGCCTCCAACAGCAGCTGGAGGCCATTTATAAATATGTTGAACAGAGTCCTTGCACAGAGCCCCAGAGAATTCCATTGGTGACCTTCTTTCATTAC